GGGGGGGAATGACAAGTCTTAAAATACAATATTTTTAGTAATTAGCTGGAGTCATTGAATTTTCTCTCATTGTTATACACAATAGCTTGCCCCAATATGGGATTTTCTTCTTTTTCTATTCTTTGCCTATTGGACCTTGACTGGCCAATACTCCAAAACTTTGATTTTTCTTTACTACATCCTGTGTGCCTGGCCACCAGGGTAGTCTAATGCCCTTCAGATTCTCCTAGACTAAATATAGGTACCCACCTTATTTCCCCTTAGTGTACCAAGACAGAGACTGAATTTTTTCCAAGGGTTTTGCAGTCCAATTCAACAATTATTTACTGTGTTTGCTATTTGCAGACAGTGGGTTAAGTGGGGATACAAAACCAAAATGAATCAGTCTCTGACCTCAGGAAGCTTACATTCTACTGGGGAAAGAAAATGAATAAATACACAATACTTTTAGTAGAGAGAGTAATTACTGTATGGATCAGAAAAGACCTCTCTAGGAGGTGGAGCTTGAATTGAAACTTGTAAGTGAAGTTAGAAGTTCCAAGAGATGGCAATGAGGAAGGAGAGTATTCCGGACTTGGGGCACGGTCTATGAAAAGGCACAGAGGTGGGAGGTAGGATGCAGAATGGATTTTACTAACATGTTAGGAAATTAAGGTAAAATAAAACTAATTTATAAAGTAAAGAATTGTTAATATAAGACTCTAGACTTAAACTTTGCCTAATCGAGTTACAGAGTTCAACACAACTTATTAATCAATTCTCCTTGACATCAATAATAACAGTAGCTAGCATTCATGTAGCACTTCAAGGTTTGCAAAGTGCTCTACAAATATCATCTCATTTTATCCTCACAACAACCCTGAGACATAGGTGCTTTCAATATTCCCATTTTACAGATGAGGAATCAGAAACCAGAATAGGTTAAATGACTTGCCAAGGGCCACACTGCCAGTAAGTGTCTAAGAGCAGAGAGAGATCTGTTTCGAACCTAGGTCTTCCAGACTCTAGATCCAGTGCTCTACCCACTGTGCAACCTAGCTGTTTCGAATCATCTAAATCACTAGAATTTAAACTCCTTGAGAACAGGAATTTTCATTCTTGTCTTTGCGTGTCCCAGCATGTAGTAATTGCTTAATTTATTTATTGAAATAAACTAATATCATTTATCTATGACACAGTCCCATAAACATAAGTACCAAGGACTCAAGTACAGCATCACAGTGAAGTTGCAAGATACTAGCATTCCGACAAAAAAGAATTTCTATGCACACACATACACACACACACACACATACACACACATACACATACACACACACACACACACACACACAATAAATTTGCATTTATAGTTGGTTTAGAAAATCAGGGGAAAAAAGAAATGGTTCAACATCTTTTTCCTTTGACTTTTCTTGAAAGCTCCATAAGACATGAACAATGCAGTCAGTTCTAAAGGGAGTGTTTTAACTCCGCCTCGTATTCATGCTACTTTTGTATTTCTAGAATCCAAATCTTATAAATCAAGATGCCAGAAACGAGGTCAATGTTGTACAGCCTCTTGAGTCCAAAGGAAACCAGAACATCTATCAAACCATTCCAGGAATCTCTGATGTAAGGATACAAGTATTTAACCTAACCAAAGGAGAGCTCAAATTTGAATATAGCAATCTCCTGTTTGACCTTGGAAAAGTCATTTCCCTCTCTGGGTCTCAGTTTCCCTATCTGTGAAATAAGGAGTTTGAACCAGGCCTTTTCTACTCTCAATCCAGTGATATTCTTTCACTATCCATCTTGATGCAGAAATTGGGATTGATGAACAAAATTCTAGCATACTGATGTTTAGGAAAAGTTCAACCCTAGGTTCACATAAGCACTTTCTTGTCTGGAAGTTTTAAGTTAGGGGAAGAATAATACCTTCATTAACTTTATTCTTCCTCAGGATGTGCAAGAGATACATTTCTCGGAAGAAAGAAGACCTGCTTCCTATCCTGGCCATTCTTCTGGTTCTCCTAGTTCACCAGAGGGCAAGACCTGCTCAAGCCTTCCAAGAAACAGTCTGCCAGACATGGTAATTAGTTACTTCTCTCATGTTACCTGCCCATATTATACTAGACCTTCGCTCTAACCCACTGTGCAACAATCCTTGTTTAGGATTTAAATAGGTTTTGTTTTTCCTGTTCATAGCAATAGAAATGGAACCTTGTCCCTTTTCCTTGAAATACTTTCCAGTCTACAAATGGTTCTCCACTTAATAAAATTTCTCTTAAATTTAGTCTCAATTTTTTAAGTAAGACTTCAGAACTTTATTCTTCGTTCTACCAGGATCTAAGCCTCTCTCTTCAGAATTGGAAAATGGGGGGGAGTGGGGGCATCTAGGTGGTGCAGTGGATAGAGTACTGGCCCTGGAGTCAGGAGGACCTGAGTTTAAATCCAGCCTCAAACACTTGACACTTACTAACTGTGTGGTCCTGGGGAAGTCATTTAACCCCAAATACTTTGCCAAAAACAAAGAAAAACCAGAATTGGAATATGGTACAACACACTAGAAAGCCCATTGGACTGGGCAGTCAAGAGATATTTTACATCAGCTCTACTGCTAACATTAAACTAATAATATCTCCTGTCTGAATCTCAGTTTCTCATTTGTAAAAATATAGGAGTTAGACTAGATGACTATTCTTGCTCTGATTCTGTGATTTAGGTTGCTATCAGGGAAAACCTGTCCAAGGACTGTATCAGTCTCTAGGGAGGTGGATCTCACTAAAGTGGAAGGTTGCTTGACTCCTTAGATACCCAAAGTCCTTTCTCCTTATGAGGGGCCCCCTGCTAGAGTCTTATTATAAGCTTGGAGGATTGTAAAAAGAAAATCCCTGGGGAATGTAGAGGCCTACCAGCCTGTAGATGAGAATTGTGTTGGCTGTTTCAAGACTCAGATGAGAGCGCTCTGTTTTTGTTGTCAGGTTAAATAAAGCCTGTCCCATAGTCAACATTGTTAGCCTGAATTCTTGTATGGGAACTCAAAACCTTTTTGCCTTTTTGTTGTGGAGACTCAAACATGGGTTCAATTCTGGTGTTCCTGAAATAATTTCTAGGCAGAAACAAAATTAGTTAAGTTCTAATGTTTCCTTTAGAAACTGGATGAGTGAATGAGACAAAGAGAGAGAAAAAGAGAAACCTCTAATTTTAAATATGGTCTACCACTTTGGTACATGAGGTACATTTTGGCTGTGTCCTCATTTTCATTTGCAGAACTTAGATTCACTTCAAAAAACAGATATAGAATATTATCATTTCAATTCCTTGATAATGCCTAGATTTACCAGTGCCAAAGTCACTTTTCTGATTGACTCCCTTCTCTTACCTTGCTCAGTTCACTTCTTCCTAGGTGTCAAACTCCACCTTTACTTCAAACAAGACTCATTTTGCCAGGGAAGACTCCATGACTCATCCAGGTCAAATAAAGGATAGAGTGCCAGACCTGGAGTCTTGGAGATGTAAGATTGAATCCTGCTTCAAACACTAGTTGATTAGCTCTTGGCAAGTCATTTAGCTTCTTAGCCTCTGTTTTCTCATCCATAAAATGGAGATATTAATAACACCTACCTCACAGGGCAGTTGTAAGGATCAAATGAGATAATATATGAAAAACATTTTACATACCTTAAAGAGCTATGTGAATCATAATTATTATTAGCTTCAAAGAATTGAACTCTCTGTTTCCTTGGATTTTCTCACTCCTCAATTCTGAGTATAATCAGAGTGAGCGATGCTTCTCATGGATGCACTTCAGTGCTAAGGCATCCTTCCAAACTGATACTGTTTTCTTTCCTTGGAGGTCCAATTCCCCTTCCCCTCCCCCACTCCTCATTCATCAAGCACACACTAATGAAGTGTGACATTTCATTTTGTATAGTTGGTAGGTCTCCAGCTCCTTAGTTTTTTAGATGGATTAGATATATCACATATGCCAAAACAGCTTGTCTCTGATATTCTAGCAAATGGGGAGAGAATTGATATAGAATGTATTGGTGTGACTTCCTCCCCTACTTTTAACCTCTGAGATTCCCCTTATTCAAGAATTATTAATACTGTACGGAATTCTTTGTACTTAGGCTCAGTGATTTTAAACCTTCTTGAGGTAACAAGATGCTCCGTATTGGTTTTTATTAAGAAGGGTCCTCCTTTTATCCACAGTCCAGTGCCAGCCTCAGCATGGGCAATGAGCACATTAAATACACTTACTATTTCCACCTTCTTCCTTTTAGGGCTCCCTAGAGAACTATAGAACCTATTGAAATCCCTGTCTTGAACCATTGTTCCAGAAACGATTTAACTGTGCCGACCACCATTTACCCGCCATCCATAACAGTTCAGAATGGTTCAGTACCCAATAGGGGGAAGTGGGGAGGAAAGAGAGAATCATTGTTTTAATCTACGCCACTTTGGGGTCTATTATTCCTACTATGGTATGATTAATGCTATGAAAGTGCATTGCTATGGAAATAAGAGATGTCCACAAGCAGAATATAAAGGAGGTTTGCTCAGCAGGTTCCCTGCAGATAGTCAGCAGAGTAATTACCTTCTCCTCCAGCAATGCCTGATAGTAGGAAAGAATGCCAGAAGAGACAGCTCAGCTATAGAACTTAGTGACTTAGAAAAAAATCAGCAAAGAAAAATGCATCCAGCCTGACAGTTGCCAATGGCGGAACAAAGACTGAAGAACGAAGAGTGTTAGGCTTGGAGTCAGCTAACCTGAGTCCTAGACCAGGCTCTGCCACATCTTTTATATGACCTTGGGTGAGTCTCTGTGCCTCAATATTGTCTTCTATGAAATGAAAGAACTGAAATAACCTCTCAGTTCTATTTTAGTTCTAATGTCCTGAAATTCTGAAATTGTTGTTAGAGAAAAACACAAATAGACAGAATGAAAGAAATGCTTATTTTTATAAAACTTTATGTAGTCAGTTGAAAAGTAAGTTTCCTGAGCAAAGGGCATAGGATTATGAATGTTGCTTTGGCAGATCTTTTAATCTTCTCTAATGGAGATAAAAATAAATTTATTTGTTTTGGCTTTTCCAGAAAACATTTGCTCTCATTAAATCACATGCAGTGAAATTAAAAACACTTAATTATTTCCCCAAGTCCCAAAGGAAACATGACTTTCTTCTTAAGCAACATCAAATAGAAGGAAATTCTTCAAGACCCAGCCAATCTCCTCCAACAAGTGATTTAGCTCCTGAGGACCAACAAGAGACAGAAGAGGAAAATCATTATCTTAGCCCTCGAAGTGTTCTTGCCCAGGTACTCCTGTCAATCAATCTTGCTAAGGGTCTGTAGTACGACCAGCTTTGTACTCAACACTATTGGGAATGCAAAAAGAGACGTTACAAAGTTTAGAATCTAATGGGGCTTAGTCTAGATGTGTTTGCCTTGTTAGACATACTCTGATATGGTGGGACTAGGATAGGATTAGAACCACAACATCTGGACTTTTGTCTCAGTTTTGCCACTTTATAGCTCTATGATCCTAGGCAAGTCTCTCTGACCCTCAGTCCCCTCATCGTTAAAATGGGAATAATACCATTTGTTCTACCTTCATCCAAGGATTATTAGAAGAATCAAAGATGTAAGGCACATAAAGTGCTTTGTAATTGTAAAGTGCTTTTTTAAAATTCAAGCTGTTACCTATCATTAGACAAAACAAACATATGTAAAACATGAAATTGGGAAATTTCCCTGAGAAAACTAAGACTATTGAATATATCTGCACATGTCCTCTCTCAGTGCCTCTCCTTCCCATCTCTCTCTCTCCCTTCCCTCTGATTGCAGAAGGCAAGACGTCTCTAAGGCTCCCTTCATTTGCCTTGATCCCATTCACTTTCCCTTCTTCCACAACCTTGTTCCAGGAATCATTCCCTTTCTGTGATACACCTTCAGTCTTTGTTCCCTTCCTGATGATTACTTTCCATCTGCCTAAAAAATGCTCAGGTCTCCCCAAATCTAAAAAAAAGCCCACAAAACCCAGAAAACAAACTCTTTCCCCATTTAGCTACTATCTGATCTCTCTCTTCACTGCTAAACTACTTTGAAAAAGCAGTTTATTTGATATCTCTAATTTTTCACCATCCACTCTCTACTCAAATACTTACAATGTGAATTCTACCCCCTACTGGAACAGCTTTCATAAAGTTTAACAATGGCCATATTCAATGATATTTTTAGAGTCATTGTCTTCCTTGAACTCTCTGTAGCCTTTGGCATGGTCAACTACCATCTCTTACTAGATACTCTCTCCTTGTTTGCCTTCAAAGGCATAATACTCTTCTAGTTCTTGAAGCCATCCCCCCTACCACATTCTTTGTCTCCTTTACTGGCTCTCTGACCTCTTATGAACTTCTAAGGTTCTGTCCACATCCCATTTCTTTCCTCAGCCCCGTCATTTTTAATGGAGATAATAATATTTGTCTTACTTCTATCCAAAAATTGTTATAAGAATCAAAAGAGATAAGGTCCATAAAGTGCTTTGTAATTGTAAAGTGTTTTATAAATTCAAGCTGTTATCTATCATTAGACAAAATGAACACGTGACCTCACATGACACTTTTGTTATCCAATTCTTTAATGTTTGTTGGGTGAGAACAAAACCAGAACAGAAAAAAAAAGTTTTAGAAAGAAGTTTATTAAGTCAAGAAGGGGTAAGATTTAATTACCTACTTATGTATTCTTGTATTCAACAATTATTTGTTAAAGACCAACTATGTATAACATTCTATATTTATTACTAAAGAGAATACAAAGATAATTAAGCATTATCCCTGCTCTCATGGAGCTTACAGTCAAGATGGGGGGTATGGCATATACAAAAATGTTGTAACCATACAACTGTGAAGTGGAATGAAGGGGGCTTAATAGCTGGGTTCATTGGTATTAGCAAAAGTGCAAAAGCAAGGAGAAGCAAAGAAATGATGAAGAAGTTGGCATAGTGGTAGAAAAGAGTTCACTTTGGAGGAGAGTGGAAAATGCCTTTGAACAGAAGAGTCAGAACAAATTATTTAAGGCTTTAAAGTTCAAGCAGAATAATTTGGATTTGATGCAATAGGCAATTGGTAGTCATTGTGTGTGTGTGTGTGTGTGTGCAAAATTATTACTGTTTTTCAAGACAAAGCCATGTTTGATCCTAATGGGTTTGTTGAGGTCACTATCTTCTGAGACTCTAAGTTCTAAGATTTATACTCAACACTTTAACTTTGTTAGAGGGCTGCCTTGTTTCACTAAGCACTACAAATATTGGATGAATAAATAGATTATGACAGATATGAATCCCAAACAATGGTAAATTGTCAGTTGTTCCACAAAGGATTCAGATGTGTCATAAACACAGGAGAGAAGAGCCTGGGCTTTTGTTGATTAGGGACTTTTTGTTGGTTCGAATCTTGCTGCCATAGCTTGGTTTGGTATTCCCTAGAACAAGCCTTCCAGGTTGGTTTAATGTGATCTTGTCACATGATGTGACAAGTGCCTGTGTCGGTGCCCAGGGCAATCACAAGCATAAGAAGAGACAAAGAATCAGAGTGAGGGAGTGAAGGGCAGAGGGGAACAGAGTAGGTTGCAGATGTACCCTCTTGACATACCTCTATCGCCTTAAGGTTATTCCTGTTTGTGTGTTTGTTGATCATTAGTTGGACACTATAATTGCTTCCAATGAAGGCAAAGAATTTGCTGAATCCAAAGAGTCAGACCAGGACTCCAAGTCAACTGATGATCTCTACATGTCAATGAAATCTTGGTATGTATGGCTGGTCAATTATAACACATAGATTAGTTTTTTCTAGAACCATTTCTACTTCAACCTGAAATGAATGTCATTATTAATCAAGACATCTTCCCAGCATTTTGTATGCCTAATATCCCATAAGAGTTGTCCACTTACCCACAGATGAGCTGTAGTGACATCCTCAGGACATGTCTCCTTTTCAGGGGAAGTTATTTTAATATCATTTTTTTAAACTTGGTGTCCCACTCCCACACACACATTTTTTGTTCCCAAGAGGCAGAGAGGTATGATATAAAGAGTGCAGGATTTTTAAAAATGGGTTCAAATCCCAGGTCTGCCACCTGTGTGACCTTGGAAACTGAACCTCTCCAGATCTCAATTTCTATATCTTTAAAATAAGGGGTTATAGCAGATTCCTCTGCAGTGTCTTTCAGTGTTTAAATCTATGATCCTATGACTTGTCCCATCCCCAAAACCAACGTGGAGAACTAATTTTGGTTCCATGTCCATTTTAGAAGGTTAGTTTATTTTATCTGCTTGTGGCCATGGCTGTAATGTTGATGGTTGGATGTACTTCAAGGCCTTGTTAGTTTTCACTTCGCTGATAGCTCTTTGATTCTCTTTCAAACACAGTAGAACTAGCTGTACATGGTCATGCCAACTCAAGGTGGTCTGAGTTTGTTTTAAATGATTATGCTCTAGTTTTGATGAAGAGAAATTCCAGCAACCTTCCAACAGCAAAGATGAAGCTCAGGCCTTTCCAGTGAACCAGGCTGAAGGGCTCAACCAGCAGGGACAAGAGCTGTGTCATTCATCCGGTAGCGAAGGACCAAAAACCAAGAACCAGAAAATGGGGTTGGTTTCACTCTCCGTTGTGCAGCTATCCAGAATAATCAAGTAATGACTTAAGTTCCCAAACATTGTGGTTCATGGGCCTAGGAGTAGTCTGAGAAATCCTTTTTACTCTGTTGACATCAGCCTTTAGAGCAGTTCTAAGAAGTCCCCACATCTACCAAAAAAGTCCCTCATCCATGCCACAATGAAGCCAAAATAACTTCTACTTGAAGAAATACAATTCTACTGCTGTAGGTGGCACTTTCTACCTTCATTAAAGTCCTTGAGAGGCAGGGTGGCAAAAAAGGGAAGAGAGCTGGCTTTGGAACCGAGAAAATCTGGGTTCATGTCCCTCCTCTGACATATACTGGCTCAATGGCCCAAAGCAAGTCTTAACCTCTCACTGCCCTAGGAAACTCTCTGATTCTCTTAATTGCAGAAAGGGTGGCAGCCTGCATTGGTAGAAGGAATTCCTTGTCTTCAAGTTCTCCATACCTATGAATTCACAGGTCCTGACTCTATTAAATAGTCCCTATTTGGTCTTATTTGGCCAAGACTGTACCCAAGTGGAAACTTTGAGGGAAACAGAAACTGCATTGTGGGTAATTTACATGGTGTGTGTGTGTGTGTGTGTGTGTGTGTGTGTGTGTGTGTGTGTGTG